TATATATATATATATATCCTTAAAGTTTGATTTTTCTTTTCAGTGGGACAGTTCGGAATCCGAATATTCGGAGCCTGAGGAGTCAAATGAGTTAGGGGCCATCGTAAGCCCCGAGATCTACGCGATGGACACTGTGGACAGTGCGAGCAAGCGGCAAGCTACTCGTGTCTTCAAAAAATCCAGCCTTAATGGAAAGATCACGGTATACCTTGGGAAAAGAGATTTCGTCGATCACATAACTCACGTCGATCCTATCGGTAAGATCCTTCAACTGTACTCGTCGCGCTCTCCATCACCTTCGTTACGCGTCTACCTGTTGAATATAACCTGAAACGCTCCAACCCGCTCCTCTCCTCTCCTTGTGTACGAACGTGTACGTGAATTTATCGCATTTCGATAAGTATACGCTTTTAAAACGCTTTACCTCTTCCCAAGTAATCCAATTACTCGGTTATTGTCAAGCGTGAAACAATTGTTCGACGACGCGGTCAAACAAGATTGGAAAATTCGATTTGTCGAAACGGTTAATCTCGAAGGCCAATCGAGCCCAATTGATCATCTCGACCGATCGCTGTTCGATTCGTTGCAGACGGGGTCGTGCTGATCGACCCGGACTATGCGAAGGATCGCAAGGTTTTCGGCCACGTGCTGGCCGCGTTCAAGTACGGGAGGGAGGATCTCGACGTTCTCGGGCTGACCTTTCGAAAGGATCTCTACTTGGCGGCCGAGCAAATCTATCCTGTGGTGGCTGGCGCCCAACAGAGGAAGCTGACGCGGTTGCAAGAGAAGCTGATCAAGAAATTGGGGAGCAACGCGTATCCTTTCTATTTCGAGTTACCGCCTCATTGCCCTGCGTCGGTCACGCTGCAACCGGCGCCAGGCGACACTGGGAAACCGTGCGGCGTCGACTACGAATTAAAAGCGTTCGTAGGTGAGACGCAGGACGACAAACCGCAGAAACGGTACGAGCCACGATTATCGCGATCCCCTGAAGGGGGAGGGGAAACGTTCCGCGATCACGCGATCTCCCTGAAACATCGATTTTTACGGACCACGCGCTCCTTTAACCCTTTTCAACGCTTCGCTGAAATACGCGTAAAATATCTTCGAAGCGTGGATACCCAGAATTTTCTAGAAATTTTCAGAAAAAAAAAGGAGATGATCAAACGTTAAATTTATAATACTTGCAATAATAAACGGATGCAGTATTTATATTTCGAAGGAAAAGGGTTTGACGGAAATAAAATAACATTTATCGAACCGATCGAATAATCTTTTCCAGATCGCTTTGTTCGTATTACGCACGAGCGAGACACGATACGTGGAATGTCGCGGCGTGGGTTAACGGTTCGCTATCCGGTTGACACGCTACCGATAAATCACCGTGTTGCAGAAACTCGGTGCGGCTCGCGATACGGAAGATCATGTACGCGCCGTCGAAGCAAGGCGAGCAGCCCTCCGTCGAGGTGAGCAAAGAATTCGTCATGTCGCCGAACAAGCTTCACCTGGAGGCGTCGTTGGACAAGGAGCTGTACCATCACGGCGAGAACATAGCTGTGAACGTGCACATAGCGAACAACAGCAACAGGACGGTGAAAAAGATCAAGGTGTCGGTGAGGCAATTCGCGGACATTTGCCTGTTCTCCACGGCGCAGTACAAGTGCACGGTGGCCGAGGCTGAGAGCGAGTGAGTATCGTTCGGTTCGCGCGCTTCGTTCGGTTGTTCGTTCGCCGCGAAACGAGCGCTAGGCGTATGGCGTGACGAGAGTGTGGCGACAAATGGATCCATATTCGAACGAAAGTCACGGTGTGTACACATGCGCCTGTGCCGGTTGGTCGTCGCTCGCATCGTTCCCCAACCGATGAAATATCCTCGTTGTTGCGACGTGTCTCGTTGCAATCTCGTCGACACGGGGGAAATTTTAAAAATCCGTTTGAGATTCGTTTCTTACTCGTTCTGCATACTATTTCTGTATTATGGGATTATCGAATATGGATTTGTCCAGTTGCCAAACTGTCACGACCAATTCCCCGAATTCCGCGATTTTTATCGAAGACACGCGATTTCGTATTTCGAGGAAATTTCGCAATTGGAAGATAGAGGAAATAGAATCTCGTGTTTGGTCACGATCGATTCATCGACGTTGATAGACCGCTCGAAGACGTTCTATATTTCGTGTTGTTCGATATCCTTAAATAGAAACCGACTGGCCTATACACGCACACACATACATACACATACACATATACACGCATACACGGTGTATAAGCCGGTGGATTACCGAGAAATTTACGAGTAACACATTCTGCGACGTGACCAGGCACCAGGTACTCAAGATCAATCGGGTCGGGAGCAGGAAGGCATAAATTAAAATACGTCGCGATAAATTTCAATCCAACGCGAGAATTTACGCCTCGTCTGATAAATTCGTATCAACGACATCTTGTAATCGGTGTCCGCCGCGTTCCTTATCCGAAGAAATTTACGAATTTGGCGAGCATTCCAGTCTAATTTCACTTTTCGTCCAACATTTTACTACGTGTATTATGTGTAATTATTTCTACGATATCTTTGATCACGTTATTGGAAAATTGACTCGAACGCTTGCCTCTTTCTTTTTTCTTTTCTCTTTTTTTTTTTTTTTTTCTAACATGACAATAGAACTCGAGGTAAAAAAGTTAAGTTAAAAAAAAACGAAAGAAAGAAGATCTGTCCCCATTAGTATTAACGCTAGGTGCGACGATGCGATAATCGGCGAAAGGAATGATAACACAACGATACAGAAAATAAAATGATTGCACTGGCAGTATAGGGGTATCGCCAGGATTCACACTGAGCAAGGTCTTTTCTCTAAGGCCAACGCTTGCTGACAACAAAGACAAGCGAGGTCTTGCTCTAGACGGCCAACTTAAACACGAGGACACCAATCTCGCATCTAGCACAATGTGAGTGCTCAAACATTGGCCGGCTATATCATTTTTCTTCGTGAGGCGAACGTTCGCACACTTGAAGACTGGAAACGGGCCAAATGATTCCGGAGAACTCGCGAGATTTTCCTCCGTTATTTCGATTGCGCATTATCGGTTGAAGAAGTAACAGAAATTCTCCTTTCTTTTTTACCTTTTTCGCGTTGCTTTCTGACTTATTAATGGGACGTTTTCGCGTCCCCGTTTATAGACATCTCTTTTCAATTAGTTTCGATGCTCGATAACTTTTAATCGTTTCGATTATTCGACCGATCAAACATCGAAGATACAAGATACTAATTCTACAATTGTTTAGATCTCTTTCGCAAGAAAATTACTTTTATAAAAGTTAAAAAAAAAAAAAGATTTATATTTATAATCTTCGATTGAATAAGTAAGGAAAATGAATACTCTATCTGGATGCGTCGTTGCAGGATTGTTAACAACAATCGGAATATATTAACTCTCGCATCGAAGCCCGTTTGCAGTCTTTGCGGACGATCGCGTTGTTGAGAATCGAAATATATTGTATGGGAACACTATATCAAAGTGGAATGCCAGTATTTTTCTTCATCGCCTTTTTTGCTGGGGAACTTTATATGGATTTGGTATTCCATCGGTGGTGGTCTATTTTGCTGTACAGAGGACACCGTCCCTCTTTCTCTAACCCTCTCTCCCTCGACCTTTCGTTTTCACTTTATTTTCCGTTATCTCCACGTCTGTGTCTCTCTCCACAATTGATATGCTGATCGATCGAACCCTCATTCCCTCTCTATATTTTTCTCTCTCTCTCTCTCTTTTTCTCATTATTTCTTTCTTTCTTTCTTCCTTTCTTTCTTTCTTTATCGCTCTTTTTTTTTTTCTCCCCCTGTATTCTCCATGTAGTCTGTATTGCAGTGTGACGCACAAGCTGAAGTTTTTCGCGTTTT